TTATAATTACCTATACTAGTCAGTACAGCAACATGCTATACATGTTTGTAGCCCAAGAGCCATAATAGGCTATATCATCTAGGAAGTATACTCTATAATGTTCACCAACGATGAAATTACCTAATGACCATTTCTCAGACATAACCCCATCACTGACTGTGTATGCTTCTGCTATGATTTGGATATGGTTTGTTTGTCCCCCTCAAAACTCATGTTGAAATTTGATTCACAATGTAGCAGTGTTGGGAATGGGGCCTAGTGGGATGTTTTTGTGTCATAGGGGTGGATCCTTCACAATTGGCTTAGTGCCCTTTTAGGGCAGTAAGTTCGTTCTTGCTCTTGCGAGACAGAATTAGCTCCAGCGGGAGGGGTCCCACAAGAGTGAGTTGCTACAGAGCCAGGATGCCGCACCTTGGGTTTTGCCTCTTGGCACGTATCCATTTCCCTTTTGACCTTCTCCTCATGTTATGATGCAGCACAAAAAGCCCTCACCAGCAGCTGAGCAGATGCTGTTGCCATGCTTCTTGTACTTCCCAGTCTGCAAAACTGTAAGCTAAGTAAACCTCTTTTCTTTATAAATTAGCCAGCCTCAGGCATTCTGTCACAGCAGCACTAAATGAACTAAGAGAGGCTCATACTAGAAAATGTGGAAGTTCTCCCTCAATTATCTCTTCTTGCATTACTACCATCCCCCGTCTCATGGTTTCTCCTTTTCAGTTAAGAAAATCCCCATTCTAATTAAGAAAATATGTTTACCATAATGTATTAATGATTTACTTAATCTAACCTCCCTTGTGCATGTCACACTTCACAATAGAATGCCTTTTGTTTGCTTTCTTCCATCGTCTATTCTCTCTGATTAACCTTGTCTCTTCTGTCTGATCTTATGTTGTTAAAAGGAAATAGGAATACCTGATGTATTAAGACCTCATTTTTCATTTGGAAAAAACTCTCATTTCAAAGCTTAATGTTGACAATCTATCTATTTATAGAAGCAGACTTTTCATCCTTAGAAATTCCCTTCATGCATTTATGCTTTATTTTACAGATAATTAACTATTTAACAGAGGGTGTAGAAAGCAAGGAAACTTGAAGTGTTTTGAATGACTGACTGCCAAGTAGAAATCGATCATAAATCAAAAGAAAGGCCCTTGGAAATTATAATGTTTGTCAACATGTAAATAGTAATAGCTTGCTTTGAATTTTTCAGGGATTTATCTTTTAAGTAAAACAAGATATGCTGGTACAAAATGGTCCCTACTGACTGTGAACTCACAGGACTCTCTGGGCTGTAGGATAGAAGCTGAAATGGTTTACAACTATCCTAAATTTGGCTACACTTTGTAATAACTAGAAACAACAGCATAGGTTAAAAAAATATAAAGTAAAAGGGCCATTAGCTAGAATGCTTGCTTTTTATATAGTACTGATTATTATTCATCTATCAGATGTCTGTCCTAACTTCTCAAATGAAGTATGAATTCAGCAGTCAACAAAGCCTCATGACTTTAGCAGTTAACCGAAATGGTGAAAAACGGAAAGCGCTGCATGACTGGTTAATGAGGGCTAAGCAGAAAGAGGTAGACGTTCATTATTGACCAAATGGCCACGAAGGCCAAGGTACGACAAGAACCTAAATGCACAGGGAAATATAGGAAACAATGATGGGAATAAAGAGAGAAAAATGCAAACTGACTGAAAAAAATCTGAAAGGTTAAACAGAGGATAAAAAAAAGAAGAAAATGGCAGATACCTAAAGGGATAATTGATTAAAGTCAAGAAGTGTTGGTAAAGAATGGGTAAGGCTGCGATACAGGAGAAAAATGAAGTACTGACTCTCTTAGAAGGAGTGTATAATTGTATATACTACATCGGCTATTTGAGGCCTCTTTCTTATTAAGTGTTATCATAAAGGCAGCCATTATAAGAGGCATAAGTCACTAATATATAGTAAAACTATGTTCACTGAACTATATTTACAGGAGGAATTATGTAATACATTTTGAAGTAGTTTCCTGTAAAAACATTATATATATATAGTATATATTTAAAGTGTAAAACATGATGTTTGATATGTGTATACATACCTATGATACACATATACATAATGAAACTACAGTCAACTTATTAACATATCCAATACCTCACATAGTTACTTTTTCTGTGTGGTAAGAACACCTATATACATATAGTAGAATATTATTCAGCCTTTAAAAAGAAGGTACTGTCATTTTTGACAACATGGATGAACCTAGAGGGCATTATGGTAAGTGAAAATACTCCATGATCTCATTTATATGTAGAAATTAAATTAAAAAAAACGAACAAAAACTTTTTAATTTAAAACGTTTGTTTTATGAATGGACAAATTTACTTGAATTATCTAAAAAAAAGTCTGCTTCAAAATATTTCATTCCTTAGCAATCCCAGTAGGTGAAATAATGTTATATAAAAAGAGAGTAAGAGCCATGTATAAAATTTACTCCCAGTACAGAAGGTCAGTGTGAGCTTTTCGCTACGTGCCAGCCTCTCAACTCCATTTCCCTGGTAGATAATGCACTTCCCAGGACTCTTCATGCAGTGGCAATTTAGGCTCCACAGACTGGAGGGCAATACAAAGGGGTAACGCGAACAAAGAAGAGACATGGCGGTTTATTGTCACTTAACTTTAATTTTATACACACAAAAGAACACCTGTATTTGAAGAAACATTTCAAGAATTCATGGTTCCTTGCCCTATTCTTTTATTTGTATATATATTATGGAATCCATTTATGCTAGCTCTCAGAGATACATGAGTATTCTACAATTTGAGGTTCACTAGGAACTTAAATACCATTTTACTATTTCTGGCTTACCACCCTTTCCTCCCCTGCAATCAAAACCAGAAAATGTGATACTGGCAGTATCTTAAGTGTTCTTACCACCAAAAAAAAAAAAAAAAAAAAGGAAAAAAGAAATGAGGGAAAGGAGGAAGAAAGGGAGGGGGGAAGGAAGATGGTAATGTGATGTGAAGTGATGGAAATGTTCATTATGTTTATCAGAACATCAAATTTTATACCTTAAATATATACAATTTTTATCTGTAAATTGTATCTCAGTAAAGATGGAAAGGGGGAAATCTGCAGATTGTCATAAATGCTCCATGCAAAAGTAGTATGTAATTTGAAGGCAATTGTACACAAGAAACAACAAACATACTTTTTAATTACAAGTGTATGACATGAAGCATATATTCAGTAAGCATTTTCTCACTTCTTCATTCAAATCTACTTTTGGAATTTTATAAGATCCTAATGTACAAAATCACTTTTCTTCTATGTTAAGACATAAGATACATAGACGTTAATAATATTAATATGGAAGAGAAAAATGCTCAATGCTTAGAAAACAGTCTCTATGTCATGCTGCTTTTAGTAAGCATGATTTGACCCCTATCATGTCCATGTCTGGATAACAAGAAGTCAAGTCACAGCAAAGTCTGTCTTATGAAATTATTTGTGTGTGTGTGTGTGTGTGTGTGTGTGTGCGCGCGCGTGCGCGTGAGAGAGAACGAGAGAGAGAGAGAGAGAGACAGAGAGAGAGAGAGAGAGAGAAGAAAAGAGAGTGGAGGGAGAAAGAAAGGAGAAAGAGAAGAGAAGAAAACTTAGATAAATATCGAGGCTCAAATATTGAAGGAAAGAGTGTTGGTCCTTCTTGGTATCTTCCTTATCAGTTAGCACAAGTACTTAACCTTACTGAGTGATAACTCAGAAAATGTGCTGAATAAATCACTGCATGAAAAAGTCCTAGTATGAACTCATGGTGGGATCATTATACTGCAGTATTTACCTTCAAAGTAAAGTACCTTAAGTTAGATTCTGTACTATTTATATGTTAACAATTAGACTAATTTTTATATAGATTAATTTTCATTTTTATGACTATCTGATTATAATATCATGAAGGAGGTAAGTAGCAGTTTGTTTTCTGTTTTCCCCCCATCATTTCTGCCCAGAGGCTCTAAACATTGAGTGACCAATCAAAAGTAACTGACTTTGGTTAATATGAATCAGGTCTATGCTATGTTTTGTGGTTATCATAACTTGGGTCATTACCCTCCTTGACAGATACCAATATTTATTGAGGTAACATGTAAATTTTGAAATCTACCAGTAGTATTTCTAAATATAGATCTGATCATCTCTTTTCCTTTGCCTATAGGATAGTATTTAAATCCTTAACCCATTACATGGGTTTTTGGTTCTCATTTTTATCTCTAGGCCCTAGTATTATTAATCTATACTAGGTCACTGCCTAGCACAGACCCTGCTTCCTAGAAGATACTCAATAGATATTCGTTGAATACTTTACTGTACAACAAATGAAGTCTATGACAAATCAATGCAGCATTAAATGTAACTGGTGTAATGTCATGTCTCTATCTAACCATATTTACTGTTTAAATATTAGAATTTTAAAGCACCTGACATGGTGAGTTTAGGCACTTCAAAAAGCAGTGACTATAGAAGTATAGATAAAAGGTCCTTATATGTAGAAAGAAGGGTAGAAACCTGAGCTATAAGCTGATCTAAATGATAGTAGGTAAAGAGAATAAAAAACTATTTTTAAATAAGTATGGAAAGAAAACATAAGAGATTTCTATTTATAAACTACACCGAAGTAATATTAAAATAATTCATGGGTTCATTTGAAATCACAATAGATAAAAATATTGTCTAATGTGAAGTTCTCAAATAGAATGCATAATCCAAAGATTGTAATCAAGCTAAGTGTTTCAGCAACTACTCTTAAAACATACTTTAAATAGCAAAATATAATCTAGATTAGTGTTCAGTAAAAGAATTTTAAGATATATGTCAAGACAGTACATAATAGAATTTTAGAAATTAATGTAAATCATCCTGATTTCTAGATATTTAAATGTTTTAAATGTCTTTATATTGAAACATTTGACAAATACACTACAAGTAAAGCATTTTACTAGAGAAAAGTCCTACCTGTAGAAGAGTTGTTCTGTGGAGCTTTAGTGCCCCCTTCTGGTGAATTTTAGCAAAGCATCCGGAACAATAATCTTCTCCACATTCAAGGCACACCTTAAAAGATATTTTTTAAAAAATACAATCTTATAAAAATGATTTTGAGAAAGTGTTTGCATAAATATGTCATTGTTTTAATATTTTTCAAATACATACATATATGTCTTCATATTCGACCTTCCTTCAAAGAAAAGCTAGGACAACTATTTGTCTTTTTATAATAACATTTAACTCTTTGAGGAAAACTAACTTGTAAACACTAATTATTTTCATAAGAAAATAAATGTAGTAACTGAAATGTAGGTTTTAGGTATATATGTTAGATGCATGTATGTATGTGCAATTTTTGAATAGTTCATAAAATAACCAGTAGCCTCAGGTCAAACTTCTGGACCTGGTAAAAACTATATGGTGTTATCTTTGCATGAAAAATTCTTCATTTTTTTAGCTTGTTTATCTTTCTGTATGGGTTTACATGACACAGTTAGTTTAAATGATATGATTACTATTTGCTTCCAAAAATCCCCCTGTGCTTCCTTGAAAGGTACTTCACTGGCATTTCTCAAAATATGGCTTTTAAAAAGTGTTCTTAGAAGAGTCACCAAAGGGAAAAAAGGTATAAGGAAAAAGAAATTTAATATTTTTTGGATGAGACTACATCATCATGTCAGCAATGTTTATGACTGATAAAATGTAATAATTATGATCAAATATATATTTACCTTCCAATTCTTTATGATGTTAATTTTTCAAATGTGTGGATGAGTTGAATAATGTAATATACCTGAACCTATGATAGTGGCAATCAAGACTGAAAGTAAAAAGAAAATAAAATGGAAATTTCCCTACAAATGAAATCACTACAATTGTACTCCTGCTTCAAAACTTTTAACAATGTGACAAACAGCAGTGCAAAAGGCTAAGAGCCCTCATTTTCTTCACATTGGCCCAGGATGAGAAGAATGAACAGTAGCACAAATAAGAAAGCATGAGGGCTTGGAGAGATGGTATCAGAATGTCTATGTCAAGGTGATCATAGTTACTTCAAGCCTCATTCATTTCCTCTCAGAGTGCCCATCACCATCCCCCCCCTTCCTTCTTCATGTCAAGGAATAATAAGCATAAAGCAGATGGGTTCGGTTGGCAAATGGTTTTGCAAAAGGCAAAACCAACCTCTTCTGTGTTGTACTGGTCATCGGTGGACTGAACTGTGCAATAGGGTGAAGCTTCTCCAATTGTGATATGCAGTAAATCACCCGGGATTTTGTTACAATGCTCTGGTTCAGTAGGTCTGGAATGGGACCTGGGATCCCGCATTCTGACGAGCTCCCAGGTGATGCACATCCTGGTGCCATGCAGAATACACGTTGAATAACAAGGCACTGGGATGCAAGTGGCATAGAAAAGTAGACTACGCTTATATTAAAAACCCAATAGGAGACTTTTAAGTCCTTTAATTTTTTTAAATTGTGTTAAAAAGTCTCCATATAATGACATGGTTTCCTACAAAAATGTAGCCAGTTTATCAAATATAAAATGATTAGGACAACACTAAAGAAATTATTTAAAAAGTAAAAAAAATAACTATGTAACTAAAAGCAACTAAAAAAAGGAGACTAGAATCAAATAATAATGACAATATCCTCATTTAGTGAGCACTTAATCACTGTTCTAGAGGAACAGGGAAATGTTATGTTCCATCTCATTTAATCCTCACACAAACCCTACAATGTTACAATGATCATTGTATCTTCATTATGAAGATGAAGTAACAAAGGAACAAAATGATTGAGAATTTGTCCACAGTCATACAAGATAATGGTGGTGGAGACAGGATTTCAACCCCACAGTCTGACTAAAAGCTCAAGCTCTTAACTCTGACACACATTACTCATCATTAAATTAATCATTGACCATTCACTGAAGTACTAATCATTTACAGATACTCCTTGACTTATAATGGGATTATTGTCCAATAAATCCTTCATAAACTGAAAGTAACCTAAATTGAAAATGCATTTAATACACCTAACCTACCAAACATCCTAGTCTAGCTACTTTAAATGTGCTCAAAACATTTATATTAGCCTAAAATTGGGAAACATCATCAAACACCTATTTTATAATAAAGTGTTAAGTATCTTATAGTTTTTACCCACATGACCACAAAGATGACTGGGAGCTACAACTTGCTGCCGCCACCCATTATCATAAGTATCATTCTGCACTTCACTAGCCCGGGAAAAAAAATGAAAATTCAAAATTTGAAGTATGATTTCTATTGAATGCATATTACTTTGCACCATCATAAAATATAAAGTCATAATTGGAACCACAGTAAGTCGGGCACCATCTGTTTTGAAATTGCTGATAAAATCTGCAATACAATAAAATCTAATATTTCCAATGACTGCATGGTCTGGTATTTATTAAAATCCAAATATATTCTTTCAAATATGGTGAGCTATATGAAACTGAATTATTTATTCAAGCAGAAGAAAAATAGACACTATCCCTAGAACAAGAACTAGCTAGTCCTACCCCTTTCAACTGTTGTTTCAAGTGCTCAAGTCATTTAGAGAGATGGAATAAAAACATTACCCCAAATCCATAGTTTTAAGTATAAAATCAATTTAAAACTATAATTTTAGGCAGGTGAGGTGGCTCACACCTATAATCCTAGCGCTCTGGAAGGCCAAGGAGGGAGGATTGCTTCAGCTCAGGAGTTCCAGATCAGACCAAGCAAAAGCAAGACCCCCGTCTCTACCAAAAATAGAAAAATTAGCCAGGCATGATGGCGTATGCATGTAGTCCCAGCTACTTGGGAAGCTGAGACAGGTGTATCTCTTGAGCCCAGGACTTTGTGGTTACAATGAGCTATGATGACGCCACTGCACTCTATCCAGGGCGACAGAGATTCTGTCTCAAAAAACAAACAAAAAAACTACAATTTTACATAATTATATGGTTGTTATATTAATATAGATTTCAAAATGTACTCTGCATAATTTTTACTTAACATATTTGCTAATATTTTAATGAATTTCTTCTAACTATTTGGCACTGTTTTCACAATATAACATGGAAAACTGAAAATCACTTTTAGCATATAATTCTAAGCCAAGTATTTGTTAACAACAGACTTTTAATGAATGTAGCCAAAAGGATATTTGTAGACTGGAAGATCAAAGCTGGAGTTGCAGAGTAAGCTTATATATTTTGTTATACAAGCATATTTGGATTTAAATTGGGTTAAAATGACCGCCAACTGGAAAATCTTTTTAGGCAGTTTGTATAACTGGCAGAAACATGTTAAAAATGTAAATAAGGACTCCATTCCACCACAGATGCTTCTTCAATGATGGAATACCCAAGTGCAGTTTTAACAAATATTTGATGATTGCCAAATCAGTTGTACTAAGCCTTCAGAATCCATTTGAGTTTAATTAGAATTATTTACATTTGCCAAATTAATATATAAGAAATTTGGAATTTGCGGGCTTTATCCTTGCCATCAACATATGTGAATGCATCTAAATATAATGGCTTATTGTTATGTTTTTGACAACTATCCTATGATATTATTTTTATTTGAAATCAAAGAACATCCTTTCTTAAATGCTTAGCAAAATTCCCTACCAATCCTTGGAGCCTAAATCCTAGCTTTTGTATAAAACGTTTCCAGGCATATCAGCTCGTAAATAACTGCTCATATTGTCACTCTCGTCTGATTTCCAGTGAAGGTACATGCCATTTATCCTGTCTGTGATATCCTCCTTCTTACTTTTTCTTCTCTCTAGAAAAACAGATCCTTTATTTCCAGGTCAAGCCGTATCTACTTATGCCATACTGTTCAAGTTCCATGGTCTTTGAAAAGTGCTCAACACAAAATTGAATTCACAAGAAATATTGATTTGTAGCCCCTATATGTTATAAATCCTTTTTCAGATCACTAACAACCAACCTCAACAATTCAATTAAACCAATAAGTCCCTTTTATCTCTTATACTTCCAACTCAAGGAATATTAGCATATGTTTATATTTTTATACATTTCTGGGTAGTTGTAGTTTGTTAAGATTCCTTAAATTATTGTCCACCACTATATCAATTAAGAAAATAATATGACGTAATAAAAAGAGCATTATACTACCAAGAGCCAGGTTTGACATGCAATATTGTTATTAGCTATTTATTAGATACATAGCATTCTAACTCTTTGAGTCCAATTAAAACTGTCATTAAATAAGTCTAGTAACATAGCCTTAAGTCAGAAATGATTATGACTATGTTCTCTGAAACTATAATCTAATCTGGAAATATTAGTTACAGATAATCATTAAATTCTTTCAGAAGGAAACTACGTCCTACCTATGTATAATGTTTAACATTGTAAAAGATACTGAAGTATCATCAATGCTACCTGAAAATAAAATATGTCTAAATTAAGGAAAAATCTATATTAGAAATTAGTTAAGGAAATGATTCACTCAAGAAATTTTGGTGAGTACCTATTACATTGCAGGCATGATTCTAAGTGGTGGGCATACAGCAATGAAAAACTACACCTCCACCCTGATGAAATTGACATTGTAGATAGGTAGAATAAAACCAAATGAATATATATTAAATGGTGATAAATGTTATATAGGTGGATGAAGTTGCTTTACAAAACTAGAGAGTACAACTTAGCTTTTGCTACTTTATAAAAGCCTGCCAAAGTAGATAACCTTTGAGTTGACATACATCAATATGAAGAAAGTGTGAGGGAGGAATATTTACTGGAAACAAATTAAGGGCTCAATTTTGAACATGTTAAGTTAGTGATGCATATAGATATCCAAGTAGAGGTGTTGAGTAGGCAGTTTGAGTCAAAAGTTGAGGGAAGAAATTTGGGGTAGATGTGTAAATTAGGAAATAAAAGAATAAAGATATGGTCTTTCAAGAAAAGAGAGTGGGTAGATTTATCTGGAGTATGTATAGATAAACTAAAGAAGAGGCCTAAGTACTGAGACCTGTGGCAAACATTAAGAGGTCAAGAATATGTAAACTCAACAAAAAAAACTGAGAAGGAACACCTAGGTATCAAACTAAAATGAAACCAAGAGCATATGATGACCCAGAGGGAGCCAAGTGAAGGAAGTCATAGGTGAAGAGAGAGATACTGTATCAAATATTCCTAATAAACTAAGATAAGAACTCAGAGTTGAGCATTTTATTGAAGAATGTGGAAGTCTATGGTACCTTGCTAGGAAGAGCTACTAGACAGTAGTGGAGACCCAAGACTGAATAGAAAGAATTCAAGAGAAAATGGAAATCCAGCAATTTCCCTTCTGGATATATACTCAAAAGAATTGAAAGGAGGATCTTGAAGAGATATTTGTACACATGTCATTACTTACAAAAGCCAAAAGGTGGAGGCAACCCAAGTGTCCATCAATGGATAAAAAGATAAAGAAAATGTGGTATATCCATTCAATGACATATTTAGCAATACAAATGAACCTACAACTGATTAACATGGGTGAATTTCCAGGAGGAGCAAAAAAAGCCAAAACAATATATACTATAGCATTCCATTTAAACAAGGTTCAAGAAAAGGCACCACTAAATCTAAGATGTTAAAAATCAGAGTAGTTGCCTTTGTGGTGGGCATTGATTGGAAGAGGCGCGTGGGAACTTTCTGTGAAAGTTATGAAAGTACTGTTCTATATCTTGATAGAGGTGCACACGTTTTTCAAAAGGCATCTAATTATACATTTAAGATCTGTGTTACAGTAAGTAAATTATATTTCAATTAAAAATAGACACCGACAGCAAGTATAGACAAACCTTCAGAAGAGTTTTACAATACTGGGGTGCAAAGGCAGATTTGGAGCCCAAAAATAATTTGTGGTATAGTTTGGGTTTTGGTTTTAGTTTTAGATGTGGATACTGCAGCATGCTTTGTGCTGACAGAAATAATCCAAAGGAGAGAGGACAAGCTTTAAGGTGATGTCGTTAAAAATGAAAAGAATGAGATTCCGTGAATAAGCATAGATGTTGGCCTTATCCCAGCAGCACACACACTTCACCCACAGTAACAGTAATGAAGAAAAAGTATAAAGCTACTCAACCAAATTAAGTTGGGAGAGGTCTAGGAGGCCATGAGAAAATGCTATTATAATTGCTTATTAAAATGCACATACTAGTAGAGCAGCTTTGTTCTCACACTGTCCACAAACCTTCCCTTTTATCTTGGGTTTTTCACTTTCAAAAGAATTTGCCATTTTATAATTAATTGGTTGTTTCACTGGCTCTGGAAGAAAAAAAATGTTAGAGCAATCACTTTAAAATATGTCTTGTTTTCTGATGATAAAGTAATGAAACTATGCACACTTCCCATTTGTGGATCACACTGAAGCCAACATAGAACAAATTCTAAACATTTATCATATCACATATTTATAATAAATATATGTGTATATAAATATGTAATAAATACTGTATTACGCCCATTTCTAGAATTTCTTCTACCAAATTATCTTAAACATTCAAAATTAAATGTGTTTATCCTCCAGAAAGACATATTATTTCCTTTGGAATTATTATAAACTCAAATTGTGTTTTTGGTTTTTACTATTGTTAAATGATTTATTAAAATATAAAGCAATTCTCAATATTCTTTTAATTTCTTAGAGTAAAATTTCAATTTATATCAACTGAATAAAATTTATTTTGAAGAATCCAAGTGTCATAAATTCAGGGTTTAGAATCTTCGTATGGCATGAACAATTCTAGCACTTTAATTTTATATGTAATTCAAATATAAAAGAAAAAAATGTATCTTTAACATCTAATAATATCATGGTAAACTATTTACCTCGAATCTGCTCCTTCAGTAATTTTAATTTCACTTTTCCAGAAGAAAGCTGTATTAATAAAATGGATACTGTTTGTCAGATATGCATTCTTTTTATTCGGAGAAAGTTTAATTAAGTTACTAGCAAAAACATTAGAAAGCTATACAATTTTGTTGCATCTTGAACAAAAATATTTTTGAAAGAATAATATAAAATGAATAGGAGATCATCACTAAAGCATATATAGACCTCTTAATAAATTATAAAGAGAAATTTATAGAAAATAAAATTTGGGAGATACATATAAACCAGTTTTTTAAAAACATAAAATATTTTTAAACAAAAAACATTATATCGCATCATAAAATGATTTTAAGAAAATGCAAGTATTCAAATATTGTAACGGTTTAATAATTCTTTTCTAAATTTCTGCTCTTCCTCAAACACACAAAGTCTAATATTTGTGTAGACTAAATCCAAACTGAATTGTGACTAAGGCACTATGATTACATAACTGTAGAAACCAATATTATTATCCTATTTGCCCAATATAGAGAATGACATGTTTAAGCATCACAGAATTATTAACCTTCAAATATATTATTTGTGATCCCTGACCTTCCTATGTTGTAGCCAAACAATTTGAGTAAATATGATTTGCTACTAGGTATTTCAAATAAATAATCACTTAAAATCCTTGGATCTTAACGTTTTAGGAAATAAAACAGGCTTGCCACTTGAACATACTTGCCTTGATCTTATTAAAACCAACATTCAAAGTACACAAACGAGCATGGAGGATGGTGTGCATTTATATAGACACTGTCAATTCATGCCTAGTTTTCCATTTGCAATTTGCATGCTCAATTGCTCAATTTGTACATGAGAATATGAGAACAATGGCTGTCTGCATCTATGGCTGTACCAACTGCAGTCATCTTTGAAAATTTAGGCCTAATTATTCTCAGTGAATCTAGTGGTTTTGCTTCAAAGGGACACTTATTGTTCACATTCTTTAAAGTAGCTACACAGATGCTGTGTACCAAGCACAGCAGAAAGAAAATAGGATTGAAATAATCAATTTTTCTATGAATCACATTTTTATTTTTGAACTGGTAATGTTATGCAAGTTACAGATAATTTAATCTCATTTTTGATAACCAAATTATCCAATATGATTACCTTAATGATACATCTGAATTGAAACCTGATCGGTGTGGTTATAGGTTACCCTGGACAGAATGGATAGATATGCCAAAGCAAAATGAACAAATTATTAGGGAAATTTTACAATTTGTTTTTAGTACTATGAGTAATATTTTTCTGCTCTATGAATATAACCATGTTTACTTCAAATGATTCAAATTGCATAAAAATATTTCAATGAATAAACTGCTAGCTGCTATTTTTAGACAAATAGAATTTTCTCATAAGACTGAGTTTTTATCTTTTGGGAAAGGGTTGAGGGTGGAGTAAGGTTGGACAGAGGATGCACATATGTGTACACACACACACACACACATACATATACAGATATCTGCATATATCTATCTATCTATCTATCTATCTATCTATCTATCTATCTATATATGCAAAACATCAGGAATTTGATATACTAAAGCCTGTACCTTAACCCACTTATGCCTCCACCAGTAGGTGCAGAAAGGGTGCTGTCAGGGGCCAGGCTGGGTTAGTGGATCTACCACACAGGCATAGCATCTGGGCCAATGCGGTCAGACCGTGCTGCCATGATCAGCTCCCTAGCATTCACAAATACCTCCAAATCCCCACCAATGCCTTAATCTACCAACCACACTGGGCACAAATTCTTCCCACAAGCCACCTTTTCAGATGTTCTCATTCTCAACCCAATTAGCTCCTGAACTTTTGCTATTCTTTACTGATTGTCATTCCATCTAGGCTCATCCCAGGGAGCACCTATTAAAAAGTCATTTACCTATCTTATACTTTAAATCTTTCCTAAAAATGTTTCATCTAAAAGTTTACATCAACTGAAACTCACCTTTCCTTAGGGACAATGTTTGCCAAAAACACTCTCCAATGGAACTAGTTCCTTTTCCACTCCCTTTCATTCACTGGTAGAGAAGAAAAATTTTCTTCCTATTTTCTCTTCAATGCTGCTTCCAGAATATTGTTCTGCTATCATCATTCAACAAAGTCACTTCTACTGAAGGTCTTCACCATCCACTTAATACCTTCACCAATATCTAGGGTCTTTTTCCACCTGAACTTCAGTAATCCGTTTAGTATGTTTCTCCATCACACTTCTGGCATGTAATTTTAGAGATTTCAATATACATGTTTACCTGACTTCCTGGTACCAAACAAAGATGCTCCAACATGCTGGCTACGGTGAACATCTAACACCTCTCAGCCACCGCACCATTATGACCAAACCTTGCACCTAAACAGCACACTGAATGGCCACACCTTGAAAATCCCAAACTCAGAAGTTGCTCAGTGCTAACCTCAATCCCCCTGTCTCCATCCTCTGAGAGCTCCCACATCTACCTGCCATTGTGATGAAATAGTACTGTCTCTTACAAATCCACACTGAATAACCCCAGTGGGCCCTTATGGCTTTTCAGCAATTCACTTACTCATCTGCTGCCAACTCCCAGTCATGATTCCCACAGTGGCCACTCCAAACCTTTTCCATTCCCCAGGACCCAAATTCATCCCATATCCACTACTCAATCTGAGCAGACTATTGTCTCCAACTTTACTAAGAATGTTGAACTCCTCCCATTACAACTTTCCAGTGTCCTACCTCACCACCTGTCAAACACAACTTCTACAATTTACTATTATTGCACCTGTTTTTCTTCCATCTTTCTTGTCTCAGAAAAAAGGTATCCTCCTTTCCTTGATAAAGGCCTCTTTAATGAAACAACTCTTCAAAAACCACACACTCAGCAACTGGCACCTCTCTCATCTTCATCTTTAATCTTTCCTCTACTAGCATGTCCATCTCTCAGCCTACAAACTGGCTCATGTTATCCCCCCAATTGTAAAACACAATATAAAAAAGCCTTTCCTTGAACCCGTTAGATCCCAGATAGGTCTCCCTCTGCTTTCATGTTCACTGCAAAGATAATCTTTACTCATTGCCTCCCACCCTTTTCAACCACTTAACTAACATCTACTTTCACATCTAAAAATGACCTAATCATCAAATCCAGTTTTTTTAATTCTCATTCTCTAGAAATAAACATTTTAATGTGATATTCACATAATATTACAAAGTGGTTTCACATATATTTGTTTGAAACTCTGTGAAGTATTCAGTAGATATTATGCATATTTACAAATGTGGTAATATAGGCTCAGAAAGGTTAAGTGATTTGCCTAAGATCATAGAGTTAATGAAATGAGAATTTCAGAATTTTGATCTTTATAGTCTAAGGCAGGGTTTCGCAACCTTAGCACCACTGACATTTTGGGCCAAATAATTCTTTGTTTTGGGGGCTGTCCAATGTATTGTAGGATGTTTATCAGCATCCTTGGCCTGTACTCACTACATATGTTTAGTGCAAAGAAAAACACAATCCTCTCAGTGGTAACAACTGAAAATGTCTCCAGACACTACCAAATGTCTCCTGGAAAGCAAAATAGCTCCCTAGAGAAAAATCAGTCTAAAGCGATACTCAAAACTTTTTTCGCCACACAATGTGTTGGACAATAGTGACTTCTCCATATTTTCTAAAAAGGCTTTCCTTTACTTGCGTCTTCTATGAAATTGCACTACTTTGATTCTACTGCTGATATTCTGTTTATTCTCAGGCTCTCTTCAGTGAAGAGTTGGCAAATTGTCTTAGAACAAGCCTGAGAGCTTGCATTCTAAATCTTGGCCCTGACTTTTGACCTTGAAAGCAAATTATTTAACCTCTTTGATGGTAAGTTACTTCATCTGTCAAACTGAAATAATAACAACTACCTTTTAGGAGTGAAATAAATACTGAATGAGAAAAAAAAGGAAAGCAGCTAAACACTAAATTGTTGACTCATATTAAAACATACTGAGTAAATATTAAAGTTCTCTTTGCCAAAATATTTCACACTTGGGCTTTCCTTCAGTTTTATTCTTCACACTTTTTTTTATAAATTCTTAGGGAGCACAGTTAGTCCCTCAAAAGAAACATCTATTTATGCATTCTTGGCTAATTTCCATATATTATTTTATAATGTACATAACACATCAGTAAGTTAATAATTATATAACAAAATTCTATTTATAAGCAAATAGAAGTATATGTGTAGGAAGTCCATGCTCAAAATATATGCTTTTCTGATATGTTACATGATTTAAACAGTTTGGAGACCACTTAGTTCTATGCTCTTAACTCCAAACATAATGAATATTTAAATAAGATCAACCATCATATATTATTACCTTAATCTTGCCATCCTCCTGCTCAAAAACTGTCAGAGAATTCCATTCACCAAGTAAAAATATTAAGACTCCTGAGCCTGGAATTCAAAACCTTCTACTTTCCTGCCTAATCTCATTTTCTAGACCCATACTTCACAGCTCCCAAACCCCAAGCTTTTATCTTCTTAGTTAATTATGATGTTTGTAGGGACTGAGATAATGATTTATTCATCACTTTTTCCTTATAAATATACCTAGTTGACTATCAAACATTTTTAGAACTAAACTATTATTTCTCAAGCACATATTGTTCATATACTAAGTGATTATAGTAAAAATTACATACTAAATTTTGCTCCAAATATTTTTATGCATCTCATCTTTCATATTAGATGAGGACCTCCTTGAGAACAAGAATAATTCACTATAAAACTAAAACAGCATTTCATAAATGTAATTAAATAAAAAAGTCAATAACAGAGTCTGTATTTTCAATACATTGCATTTACAATTATATCTGAAACACTGAATGCTACTGCAAAAAGAAAATGAAAAATGGAAAGTGAATTATAAAACTTTTAACACAAAAATTAAAGAAACCTATTTCACTCAGGGCATGACACTAAAGAATAGAATGCTTTCTTGAAGCCAAAAAGTTTAGAAGTGCAGAGTAAGACATTTGTAGATGCCAACTGACCTAATGAAAGTTTAATGATAGGTACATAAAAAATAAAAAGCTGTGTAAGTTAATGCTTACAAAGTCACGGATCTTGCACTAAAGAATCTAGAAGCAAAAGTTTTCTTTACTTAAAGACATTTATCTGGTTATAATCTTATATATAATATAATGTTATCTTTTATGGGTAGAGTAAAGATAAAGCAATTTTATGGCTGGGAAACCAAAAAGTATTTTTTCTTGGGTTTCTTCACACATAAAATCAACATTAAATGAATAATAAATTATTATTCAAGTATAATGTGAAAACATTAAATAAATATCATATAATATAAAGTTCTCTCATTGGTAAAATCAAGTAACATTAGCTTTCATTTTAATATAGAATAATATAGCTCTATTTCCCACACTTTAAAACAGAAGCAAACTAAATAGAAAATTCAATTTGTAATTTGGAAAAAATCAGAATGGAAAAATTCACCTCAGGGTAAATTTTTAAAAATCAACTTATAGATGGAAAATAAAAACATAACTGAATAATGAAAATTGCCTATTAACCTACAAAAAAGGGAATCAAAGATCTAATAATATGCAAAGTTGTTAAAACATGAGTAGTAAATTCTTGAGTTTGAAAGGAAATGCAAGATCTTGAAAATTAATTTGTATCTCTGGCTTAGCAAATTGCCTGAGAATCAAATGGTATCTTCTTACCTTAATAAAATGCCCTCTATTCTGTGACATCATATGTGATTGACTACCCAATTTGCTCACTTTTCCAGATTTCCAGTGATATCCATTTGACCTTCAAGATATATAAACAAAACAAAATGTAATTACTGAATACATTTCTCCTTTTTTTCATTTCTCCTTTTAATGAAAACAAATATAGTTTTAAGAAATGGAAATTCAGTTGTTAACATGTAACAAACAAGTACAAAATGAAAAGGAAATATCAATAATGCCTCAATATTTTCAGTAATTTTAAAATATGGCTCTACCATATTTGTAACTTTTGAGGAAATGAATAAAAGTGAAATGCCCAAACACAAATGAAGAATTCCATTTTTTTTTACATTCACAATGACTAAAAATAGCTTTACTGACTTACATGAAACTTTACAGGTTGTCGCGCAGTTTTGAAAGCGAATGTCTGCAAATGTATAGTGGAAAAGCGAACAAACCAATACTCAAAAATATTCAGCAAATCTAGTAAGTGATAAATTTTTTATCAAGATCCCCAAATGGGGGAGGGGGGAAATGGGCATTTCTTGAAACCTTAAAATCTGTACCCCCATAATATGCCGAAATAAAATAAAATAAAAAAAAGAAGAAGAAGAAGAAACCATAGCCCAGCCCTGATGGCACTTGATTTTAGGGCAATAAAATTGATTTTGGATTTCTAAAAAAAAAAAGATCCCCAAATGAGCTCCCTCATTGAAATGTAACAAAGATTGCAAAGAAGGCACACTTTAGTTTTCAAAGGAGTTTTACTTGAGACACACCTGATTTTTTGAAGTCAACAGGGCAGGGTGTCCAATTCCCATTTTAAAAATAATGAGACAACAACTTGCCCAATGTCACATAGACAATAAATAATTAAGATTAGAACACTAATCTTCCTGGCCAGTGAGTGGCAGTTTCTCATTCTGGCTATGACATTTAATATCTGTGTGATCTTAGAAAAGAAAGTAGCTATTCTAAAAACTAAAACACATCTAGAAATTTTCCAAAGCTAAAGAAAACACACTTTTGGGGGCTGATTCCAGTAACTCTGATTCCTAGTGAATACCATGATCCATTGAGAAGTACAAACTAAGTCCAAATCAGTGAAGGTAAAAAGACCTGGCCACTGGATCATTAAGAGAAAAGCAGCAACACACAATAAACCTTGTCATCTGGGATGACACACAACATGAGATGGTTAATGTTCTGGTTATTAGAAAGAGTAAGTATTATATATCGTCATGCATTTTTTTCAAAGAATTGGACTCTAATGATGAATACTAACGGGACTATAATAGACATACTGGAATTTTCTTTAATGGTTCAAAAGGTACTTCATGAATATTTAATGGTCATCACTTTGAGGACCAAATAAAATTAAATTTGCTATACAAAGAATTTGGTAATATTTAGGACCAGCAAAGACACATAAAACATGCACTGTAATACTCTATAGAAGAAATTTATAAACTTTTGAAACCAGTTTGAAAACCAATTTCTCGATGTCTATCACAAGTAAAATGCACATACACTAAAATTACAGAGGTAGGAATTCATCCCACAGATACTCATACATATGTAAGAAAACATACATGTAGAAGTATGTCCATGACAGCAATTATAATCGCAAGATACTAAAAACTAAATAAGATCTGAAAACTAAATGCTATTATATATCTGCACAAAGAAATATTACGTAGCCACTAAGAGAATGAGATAGATCAATGTGTGCTTATGTGACAAAAGCATTAACATATATTAAATAAAATAGTAGGATATGAAGTAATTTCCATATTTTATAGATGCTTTCATTTGTAAAAACGTAAGAGAAAATACACATCAGATATATACACTTACAGCATGCATACACACACATTCATACACATGTATGTACACTGACGTACAGAGATAAATTTGTGGGGAAAAAATTCTAATCATTAAAAGTGGTGCTAGAAAATGGGCTAAGAGTCAGCCTAGAGCTAAGAAAAGATCATTTTCATCATATAACTATCAGTTATATTTGATCTTTATCATCTTTATTTATTATTTCATAGTAAAACAACAGTCTTAGTAAAATTAGTATAAACATAAAAGTATAATATTGGAGATAGTATTTGACAGTTGTCTCAATAAAATTTCAGCTAACTAGCACTTGCTAAAATATTTCAAACAGACTTGAGGGTATTTATATTGATATATATACAAACAAATTCCTGCCTCCAAAAGCCTTTTAATAAATAAAAATGGGATCTAGCTTCTGGGATACATTCTTTCCCCCCTGTCCTTGGACAGCAACTCCAAGCTCCCCAGCCTTTAGACTCCAGGATTTACACCAGCGGCCTTCCCAGGTTCTCAGGTTGGCCTCGGGCTGAGAGTTACAACATTGGGTCCCCTGGTTTTGAGGCCTTTGGATTGAGCCACACTACCAGCACCCCAGGGTCTCCA